TATTTGGATAAAAAATAATATAAAACAAATATTGAAAACTGCACTCTTCATTCAGAGAAAAAAATGACACGGATGTTAGGGCTTCACATTTGGGCACTTCACACGCCGATAATTCATATGGCTGATACTAGCTGCAATTTACGTGTAGGTTTCTCACAAATATTCTTCTCTCCTCTTTCTCAAATGAAAAGTAAATCATTATTTATAAAACTAAAACAAAATCCTAATCCTAACTAATAGATAACATCAAATCACATATCCTAACAAAATAACTAATTTAATCCTAACTAAACAACAAACTTAGTCCCAACTAAAGATCTCAACTAAAAGAAAATTAAAATACTTAAAAGAAATAAAATCCTAACTAAAATCTCCATCAAATCTTTTACAAGAACCAAATCTCGATCTGTCCTACATCAACCAGTAAGAGAATCATGGAGCTAGACTTACGAGTTCATGATAGAGGTTCTATTTTCTTGTTGAAATATTGTTCCCTTCACCTAATTGCGTAATGTACAAACTTGAGTTGTTTTATGTATCCATGAAAAGTTACCAGCAATGATTCAAGGTGCCGCCCTGAGTACCTTATGTGTTAGGCACAATCTGGCTTCAACACCTGACAAACTGCTGGACGATGGGTTTGTTCAGGATAGCACAGAGCGTGCTTGTGCCTTGCGTGCTAGATCTTTTGTGAGGGAGCTATTCAAGCACCTATTTTAATGTCGTTCTTTTAAGTGTATTCTACAAGAGTACATAATAAGAAAATAGTAGTGTAAGGATGAGCATATCAACTTAAATTTTAGGTTGACTCCTAAATGTAGAAAGCATTCATATTCTATGCCAATAGACTCAGTGACATCCACGTGCTTAGTCGTGAAATGAGCCATGTTTAGAAAGCCTGAGCTTATATGCATTGGCGCACAGGGTGTCCAGAGAGGGCCCAAAGAAAAAACCCAAGCTCTTTATCCAGCACTTATTTGTTTCTTTTGAACTGTCTATTCAGCCCCTATCTAATGTCATAGTTTTCATTTAGTTTATTCCATTTTGATATTCTATTCTAATAAAATAATAATGTCAGGGTGACTATGTCCAATTAAATTAAGTTTATTTAGGTTCACTCTTTGATCCCCTCTCATCCTCTCTCTTTTTTCCCCTCACGTTTTGTGTTCCTTATGGATAACCTTAGTCCACATACAATGCAATCACCGAAAACCACGAAAGTGCACAAGAGAGCATCGACAAAAGAAAAAACTTCCTTTCTTATTGCTTATTTGATTTTTTTTGGAATCATAAAGATATTGAATGCCAGAAATTATCGGACTTGTGATTGGAAAAATGTGCCAATAGGAAAAAAAACACAGATAAGATTATTTGTTGTATGGTGTGGGAAAGATTTGAAACTAGGGCCTTATCTCGTCAGCGAGTACCTTGTCAGTGTCAAATCATGACCCAATAAGTGTCAAATCATGACCCAATATTCCATCCAATTTCAGGAGTAACTGAAAGAGATGTGTAGAAAAGACTTAAAAGGAGCAAAAAAATGTAACTCAAAAGGAGCAAGGAAAGGTAACTCAAAAGGAGCAAGAAAAGGTAACTCAAAAGGAGCACGAAAAGCTAACTTCTTTCTGGGCTTTGATTTTGCATAAATATGGGTGAGAACTTGACATGGAACTTTTGCTGAAGATATTCGAAGTAATAAGACCAAGAACAAAGAGAAGCAGATTGCTATTGGGAGAGAAAAGTCAATGAGAGTTGAAAGAGCAAAGTTGGAGAAGAAAAGTGAAGTGCATTAAGCAGAAGGGGAAGCAAGTTGGCAGTCATGTGGATCAGTTTGTCACTCCTAGCCTCATTAAAATTGTGAATGGAAGGAAAATAAAATTGATTTAAGTCACAAATATTTCTGTTCAAGTCACAAATGTCTCCTTTTCCTCAACTTTTTGCATGGGTCAACTTTTTGCATGGGGGAGCTTTGCATGAGCTATATAATTGTTTCTGTAAATAGAGAAACCTCTCAAATGTTTAATCGAGCTTGAGTTTATGTTGTTAGATAGCGTGGTAAACTATTTTGGTGGTATTGGTTTAAATGAAGTTGATTTAAGTTAGTAGGTCTAAAGGTTGTGAACCATTCCCTCTTCTCTTCCTCATCCTCTCTTTATTGCTAATGCTGGGGAGGTAGGGGTGCATTCGGTCCGGATACGGCTCGGATATGATGCTTACCATATCCATATCCGCTTACCCATCTCGGATACGGATACGGATACGATCTCGGTAAGAAAAATTTATAACCATATCCGCTAAAATCGGATACGGTTACGGATATACATGCGGATATATAAGCGGATATGCATGCGGATACAAAACAGATATGAGAAAACTAGATAGTATTGAGAAAAACATAGTTCATGTGATACAAAAGAGTTCGTTAATATGTCCATTATAACAAAAAAGTTAAGATTAGACATCTTGATCATCAAAATTAACCACAAATCCATAATCTAAGAATCAAAACTATCGTAAGAGTATGACTAATATGTATTCGGATATTTCGAATATGGATACAGATATTTCACTACAAAACCGTATCCATAACCATATCCTATCGGTTATAGATTTGAGTAACCATATTCGTATCCTAACGGATACGGTTACGGATATTTCATCGGATACGGATACGGTTTAGCACCCCTATGGGGAGGTCTAAAGTTGAGGTCTATTTTTCACCTTATGAAGGAGTACAATTTGGTTTCTCTTTTGTCTTAGTACATCTTCTCTGCTGCTCTTTCTTACTTCCTCTCTTTTACTTTATTCTTCTCCTTGTGTTTGTCTTATATTTTCTTCATTGATACTCTTTCTCTTGTAAATCAGTAGACATTTGCAATAACCTCAGTTCAGATATCTTTGTCGGAATTACTTGTCATCATATCTTTTGCATTGTTGCTTTTTCAGTCTTATGTAAATCAGTTGATTTCTGCATAACCGCAGTTCATATTTATTTGTTGAAGATCTATTTGGTTGCTAAAGTTATTAATAAGATTTTAAATAGGATTTTTCCGATATTAATTTCCAAATCTTTCATATTTTAATTTTAGTCTCCCAAATCCTTGTATTTTGAAATTATTCTCTCAAATCTTTAAGTGCTTGAATTGCCCCCCCCCCCCACCCCCCCCCCCCCCCAATCTTCATATTCTGAAAGTATGTCCCAAAGCTATTCACCCTGCTACTCACTAGAGAGACTAATTTCAAAACACTTAAAATGATTTGAGAGACTAATTTCAAAATGTGAATATTTGGGGGACTAATTTCAATATATGAAGATTTGGGACTAATTTCAAGATATGAAAGATTTGGGGGACTAATATTGAAAAAAAAAACCCCTTTTAATATCTGTTTCAAAAATCAGGTTGCATGCATATGCATAACCTATGTATAAGTTTCAGTCTCAACCTTCTGGTAGCACCAATTTTGAACGTAGATGTGATCCTTAACCGCATCAAGTGTTTATCTCTAGTGTTGATTGAGATTCTGGCTAAGAGAATATGGCAACTATGGCAATGTATCCTTGGAAGAAAAATGAAAAGGTCTACAGACCCCAGTATTATTAATTCATTTCATTCAAGTTCAGTATAATATGCACTGATCATGCTCTTCATATTCATGGTTATGTGATGGGCAAAGTCTTCCGGACATATTTTCTTTGAACTATGGGTTCATAGAGGGGAAGATGAGGTACTGAATTGAACCTGCAAACTTAGCGGTATCAGGTTTCTTAACATGGTAACTCTGTTATGCTTACATATATAACACGAGGCTAGCAGAAATTGACTGTCAAATTGTTAGTCCATAGTTACAAGTACAACATCACTTGTCAGTGCACCAAATGGATTATAGGTCAACCAGGATGTCCGCAAAATTATCTTAGGAGGTAGACACAAATGATGTCTGTAAATCTCATTGCCTGTCAAAGTTCATGCATTTTACTATTACAAAGTTCGGTTGACAGCACTTCTATATGACACTTATCATCAAAATAATGTGATGGTTAACAATTTAACATACATTTGCAGTTGAAAATAATATCCAAATACTATTTACACAGAATCTTTGTGCTGTTTATCCATGATATGTGAAGTGATACTGAATTTGATCTTTATCTTAATCTCACTTTATATTACACAATGTATCAAACATGACGCTCCATTATCATGCCTGAGATTAGTCTGATGTACTTGGATTAGATTACTTTACGGAGCTTATAATAGTTACCGAGAAGATGAAAGAAACATAATAGAGAAAATGAAATAGAGGGCTGTAGTTGCATAATCCATGTCGGGTTCATGCAGTTACGTAGCTACTTCAGGAAGAAAGCAAATAACATATCTGAGATCAATCTATTAATGCTTGGACTGGATTATTTTACTGGGTTTGAAGTAGTTATGAAGTGAAGAAAGAAACAAGGGGAAAAAAAGCAGAGGGCTGTAGTTACACGGTCAATTTTGGGATGATGCAGTTATTGACCGTTATGAAGGATAGCGATACAAGAGCAGTGGAGTGACACAAATGATGATTGTGTGATAGGAGTCCCTAGGACTTGTTAGGTAGAAATAATTAGATGAAATTATTTTGTTGAAAAGCAATTAGAAAGAGCAGTTTATAATGCGGGGTTGCTGTAACTGCTGCTAATGGTCAATCTCCATTGTGCTGATGAAATATTTGTCTTCTTTTTTATTGTATTGTTGTCAATTGTCAGTCTTAATTATACTACCGCGACTGTGATCAAACTCTCGCTCAAATTAACTATACAGTATATAAAGATCCAGTTTGTTTAGTAAAATTGACTGGAAGAGTAAAAGGTTTAAGAACTCCCCTTTACCGTCTTATTTATCATCACAGTTTGCTTGCTATTATGTTATCAAGAAAATAATGTGCATTCTTATCCAAAGACTATAAAAATCATGTTTCTCTTCACTTTGATTTATTTGGAAATCCTGATGAGATTACAGAACATCGACATGGGTGATTCCTACACAATTCAGATAAGCTCCAACCTGGTCAACAAACTCGCCAGAGATGGAGAGGGGCGAAAGAGAAGAACCAAGAAGTCCAAACCAAAGATACCAGAAATTCCAAATAAATCTGAGAAAGAGCCAACTCCATCTCCTGCTGCACCTAAGACTGGGCCTAGCAGTGTATGGCCAGTCCAAACCCCCGTGTTCATGCCTGTGCCAGACCAAACTCCAGGGTCGGCAGCACTCACGGAGCTCGAAACCATTAGATCAAGAATTCAAGAAAGTGAAAATGTGGTGAAGAAATTGGAACAGAAGGAGCTTAACATGACTAAGGAGCTCAATCAAAGAGCGAAGGAGCTTCGTGATAAAGAGTTCAAGCTGCCTTATCAGAAATCGATGCCCTGTGGTGCTGAAAGAGAGGCTTGCCTGCAATGCTATCAGGAAAATTTGAAGCAGCCATTACAATGTGCGGAGGTGGTAAGAACGTTTAATGACTGTGCTCGCCGAGCAAGGCAACAGCAAGTTAATGGCAAAGTTTGACGAATAATTTGTTTACAACTGGAAAGCTATGTTATGCAGTCATAAGAGCAAGTTAGTTTGTTATTTGCATGGATTACTGTCTCTTGAGCAGATGTCGCGGTATTTCTGATTTTGTGTAACAATTTTTGAAATGCAATCACATGAATGTGAGTAACATTGGCAAGAATATACATGTGATTTTCCCTTGTAGTAGGTTCCAGATTATTAATTTTATTGTGTCAAGATTGCAGTTGCTCTTCATAAAAAATAGATAAGTGTTTTGAAAATATTTTAATAGAAAAACACAACACCATGGTGTTTTCTTACAAAAACACAGTAAGAAAAACACCATGGTATCCAAACAAAACCTTGGGTGTGTTTAGTGCGCTATTCAACCCATAGGCGAGCGGGGTTATCTGCAATTTGAGCTTTATTTTGATTTCAAATAGTTTGGTGATTTTTCATTCAAATTCATGTAGAAGATCCGTCCTAGAAGGCTGAGTGCCAAATAAAGCCCATCGATTGAGGCCTGAACTTGAGAAGAATAAACCGGCAATCTTTAATGCCAAGAGATTTGGACAGTACACGAGGTAAGTGAGCTGCCAATTCATGGACTATCAATTTCTTAAGAACTGGGGCCCGTATCATGAGCGTTTGTTTGATAAGTTCTTTCTTGAAGCTTAGGTTTAAATATATTTTTCATTCGTAAATATCAAATTAATTTAGTATCATTTGATACCTATCTAGTTTAATACATTTTCTTTTGTTAAATATGCAGAAAGATTATAAGTTTCTACATGTAGATCCTTATTGTCCTCTCAACCTTCTTGCTATTCATCAAGGCGTGAAGAAGAAGATGCAAGAGAGAGTCTGTGGCAATTAGTCCCCAAGAGAAGAGAGATGAACTTTTCAAGGAAGAGGTGTTCTCAGGGATTGATAAAAAAGTGGTGGGACGACTTGTGCACGTTTTATTCTTCTAATAGCGAGCAGACACATGGTTAACAAATGATTCAATGCTTAGTATGTATTTATTTTTGGATCGCAATCTAAATCTTACATTTATGTGCAGACAGAGGCAAAATGAAATAAGGATAATCGGGAGTTAAAGAAGTAAGGTCAAGCAATCTATATGGGTGGCTCGAGAGCATGGTTCAAGCAACGTAGAGAGTGGTAATATTAATTCTTAGCGTTTTAAAAAAAAATACATTTCTTAGTTTATGATACAATATATTGTATATATTTATGTTCTGGTGAGAGAGCTCGAATCGAAAAATCGGGCGGTAGCTCAAGTGCATTGAAGGAGAATTTTTTGACTCTTGCGTTTTTAGTCATCCAGCAGCTGATACATATACATGTACATATCCTGATATCCAAACTCAGGAGTATTGCATAAGTGTTAATTTTTTGACTAATTGAAATAAGTTTTTTGAATATGTTTAGAATAATATTATTGACTTAATATTTGAATACTCTATGTGGTGTAGGCTTAGGTGATAGAAATGACAAAATTATTTGGGGTCACTGAGAATCCAAATCTACCGCAATGCCCATGGTTTTTGATGATGTGCATGAAGGGCATCATGGTGGTTATGAGAGAGACTTGGGTCACGTTGACACCAGGTTTTGTTTGAAGACTTCCTCCACTCTAACCATTGCTACTTCTCCTGACATCCTTCGTGAGATGGCGGAGCTTAAGTCCAAAATGGATTGACTAACCCCGCTAATACATGTGCAAAGTCTGAAATTTTAAGAGCTATATTAATATAAGTTTATTTCCAATTCAAAAAAATAAGATTAACACTAATACAAACGTCCAAATGTTTAGTCACACATATACTACACATATGCATTCCATGTAACAATCATTTGTAGACCTTGTGGGAATATGAACAAAGGGATAATCCTAACTGATGACAATGTGCTTACATGAAAATTAATTAATCAGAAATATTTGAGACGCAGAGAAGTGAATGATGTAGACAATATATAATAACCTAGTTAAGTAATTTTGCTCAAATATATATCATGCCCACATATGGACCAAATGCTCAAAAAATCAAAAACACCATACTACCATAAGCTTTCTGAATTAGTACTACAAGAAACTTTAAGAGACTTTCTATTTTTCAACAAAGACAAATTTAAGGAGACAAGTCGAACGTGGACCATTTTATCAAGAAACTGTTCAATTCAGTTAATCCAACACATAAATGTCTATTGTGAGCACTACTATGGTGTATTTGTTGTCCCTCATGGATGTGAAATATGATTTTCGTATATTCAGATAGTACACTCTAGGGCTGTCCAAAAAGCCCGCGGCCAGGGCCCCGTCCCGCTCGGGTTTTGCCCGGATGCCTGGGCCAGGCCCGAGTCAGGGCCCAGGCCCGGGTCGGTTTTTCAGAAACCGGTCCGGACCCGGGTCCGGTCCGGAAAAGTGCCGGGGTGGGCACGAGATCCGGGCCGGGCCCGGGACCGGCCCGGATGAAACGATCACCAGAAGGTGACCGTTTGTGGTAAACGACCAGGCCGGGCCGAGCTGGTCCGGCCTAGTCCCAACGGTCACCTAAGGTGACCGTTGGGTTGTTTAGGTCGGGCCGGCCAAAACGATCGTTTTTGGCCGGCCCGGCCTGACCATAACGGTCATATTAGTGTTTTGACCATTTTGCCCTCAACAACAGTAAAAAAACGGTCAAAATGTGAGGGTTTTTTGGTCATTTGTATAGGGGGCTGCCTCTATAAATAGAGGAGGGTTTTCACTTCTTCTCCTCACCAAAACTCTTCTACTTCTCTCTAATACTCTCTTATATAATATTATACTCTCTTATAATCTCTTATATTTTCTAATACTTCCATCAAATGGCTTCTGGATCTGAATATGAAGAGCAAAATCTATCTCCTACTGATCTAGAAATAAGTCCTCCTACAACAACTACTCCTCCTACCGGTGTTATAATCCTGAATCTGATGGCGACGAATCTGCACCAAGAGCTCCTAAATGGCCGAGATCTGATGTGTGGAATTTTTTTGAGAAGATAGACGTCACCAAGGATGAACACGGTAGGATCATCACCCAGAAGGCTAAATGTACGTTGTACGGCCAGATTTTTCAAGCTCATCATAAGAGCGGCACCAACCACCTCAAACGTCATATTGAAATACACAACAAAGGCCAGAATATTCAAGGTGATATCCGACAATTTATGATTTCTCAATCCTCCACCTCTGGTAGTCTCGGTAGTTGGAGTTATGACGCTGCCCGAGCTAGGAAATGCGTAATCAGGTATATCGTTCTTAAAAACCTTCCTTTTATATTAGTAGAAAATGATGAATTTAAAGATTTGTTTAGAGATGGTTTTTTATCTTGCATTTACCAAATTTTCTCGTCAAACCTGTCAACGTGATATTTTAAAATATTATCAGGAGGAACAAGGAAAAATAATTTCTTATTTTAAAAATTTAAACTATAATTTTTCTTTAACTTCTGATATTTAGACATCTAGAGTGCAAACTGGTTATTTATGTATCACATCACACTGGATTGATAAAAATTAGCAAATATTTAAAAGAGTTGTTTCTTTTATTGTAATTGAAGAGTCACATACTGGTATTAATATTATAAATTTAATAATTGAAGAACTTATGAAACTAAAAATTGATCAAAGAATATTTTCTCTCTCCCTAGATAATGCAAGTAATAATAATGTAGCTATTGATTTTATAAAAACAACTTTGTCATTGTCCTGTCATGGTGAACTTTTCATATTAGATGTATCTGTCATATTTTAAATTTAATTATTCAAAGTGCATTTTCTGAAATTAAACCCATGATAGAAAAGGTTAGAACTGTTGCTAATATGCATAATGCTTCTGAAATGAGAATTAAAAAATGGAAACAATATTGTAAAAGAAAAAAATATAAGCCCAGACTAATTCCAAAAGATGTTCACCATAGGTAGAATTCCACCTATGCAATGTTAAGTGTAGCAATAGAATATGAAAAAATTATAAATGATTTTATAAATTTTTATGCTTCTACTTCTAGTTCTGGTAGTAGTTATGGAATAATTGGATGAATGGATAATTATATGTAATTCAAATGAGATGTTACAAGTCCTTTATGATGCTATAATGTTATTATCTGGTTGTTATTATCCAACAATTACTTTAGCTGCTTTACAAATTTTAAATATCCAAAAGTTTTTTTCAAAATATCATATGGTTGATACTTTTGGATCTATAATTTTTCAAATGGAAAATAAATTTAATAAGTATTTTAGGCTTATTCCTCATATTTTTGGTTTGAGGATTCTTATTGATCCATGTTTGAAGGATATTGGCCTTCGAAGTTTGTTACAATCATTTTATGGTGGACATATTATAAACTTAGATGATGGATCCACCCTTACTGCTACTTCTCATCATTTAGCTATTAGAAATTATTTTCAAATATTATATGATGAGTATGCAGGTAGACATGGTGTAGCTGCACAACAGTCTACAGCTTTGGCGCCTTCGAGCACAGGCCGAGGTAAAAGTGTAAGTTTTGATAGGTATGCAATGGTAGCTGAACTAACTGGTAGATCTGGACTTGGATCAGCATTAGAGGTTTCTAAAATATATGAATATTTATCTGCTTCCTTAGTTAAATGTCAAGGAAATGCTTTAGATATTTTACAATGGTGAAGAGTATATGGATCAGTTTCATATCCTATACTTTCCACCATGGTTCGTGACTTACTAACAGTGCAGGTTTCGACGGTAGCTTTGAAATCCGCCTTCAGCATAGCAGGACGTTTGATCGACGATCACAGGATATACTTAGATCCGTTTACTGTACAAGCGGTGTGTGCTTACAAGAATGGTGGAGGTACGAGAAGCGAACGCAAGGCATCGATCGGATGGCTAGAATTGAAGATAAATTTAAAGAGTTTGGACTAGCAGATAGGTATAAAGATTAGATAATATTCATCAAATTGTAATTTTTATTTCTTAGCTTTAAATTTGTAATGAATTATTTTAGAAAAAGTTACAAATGATAGTGATATAGGTGAGTAGGTGCCAACCTAGTTGGGATGTACTCATCTATTGTGATGCGACAAATTCTAAAATAAATTTATACTTGTAAGGATTTATTGATTATTAATAAAGAAGTTATTTTTATCATCTTTCATTTTTATAATTTTTTGTACTTGTAAGTTATGTCATTTCAAGTTAGTTAAAAAATT